GTCGCACTTGGATCCTGCGGACAGCGGCTTCTCAGGTGTCTGATTCTGCCACCCCGGAAGCACCGGTGTCTCTCCACCGCTGGTTGGGACGGAATTCCCTACTACTTCTTAGCATTCAGAAGTCCTGGATTTGTAGGGGTCTAATAACTATTTGTATTTCGAAATCTTCAAAGATCCAGATCATATTTATTCTAAAATAGGTAACGCACTCTAATTAATTCTACTTCTCAAAAATAATCTCTTAATTTACCTAAAACAACCATTCTGTTTATTTAATAATATTCAAAAATTTTATATCTTACAAAACTTACCCCCTTTTAATTAAATAACATTCAAAAATTTTATATCTTACAAAACTTACCCCCTTCAATTTAATAATATTCAACATTTTATATCTTACAAAACTTACCCCCTTTTACTTTAATAATATTCAAAATTTTATATTTTACAAAACTTACCCCCTTTTATTTTCCCTTTAAGAATGTTTCTTCTTGAATTCTAAACAAAAAAAAATATTTATTTAAAAAAAAACTTTTCTTCCCTCCTTTTATGCTTTTCCTGGCCCAAACCATCGTGTCATCCCTTTTTTTTCTTTTTCCCAATTTTTTATTCCTAATGATTTATTACTCCATTTAACTTTTCTCCTTTTCCAAACCCAAATTTTCGAAATATTATCCTCATTTTTTTTCCTAAAAAGTTAATTTTATCTAATTATTTACGTTACCATAACTTTAAATTTCCTCTTTTTCTTCTTAATTTGATGATTTATTACTCTTCTCCCATTCTTTTATTAATAACTTTTATTTTGACACTATTTTATTTAATCTAAATTTTATCTTGTCAATATTTTTATTCTTTAAACATTTTTTAATTAAATATCCCTCCACCTGTCGCGAACATCTCCCAACTTATTTAACTAAAAGTAACCTTGCTCTTTAACAAAACTATTTTTATTTTAAATTAATCCACAAACTAAAATTCTTTTCTATTACAATTATCCATTCATTTACACGTACTATTTTCCTTAAGATTATTAACGAATAAGATTGTTAACTATTATTTTCCCTAAGATTATTAACGAATAAGATTGTTAACTATTATTATTTACACTGTCAACCTTATTAAGCTACTAATTCGGCCCTTCTATTAAGCTAAACTATTTTATCAACCTTATTAAGCAACTTATTCGGCCCTTCGATTAAGTTAAACTATTTTACTAAGACGCACATGCATAAATTGCAATAATTATTTTTTTATTAAGAATCTTCCCCAAATAAATGGACAATATATTCTTCTCTCTCGCCTTCATTTAAGATAACTTCCTTAAGATAGGCAAGTGAATAATATCCTCCCTTCCAACACTACTATATATAAATATACTTTATGACTTTACCCATAATACATGGATATATATATATTTTTTTCTTCCCCCCCCCCCTTTTTTTTATGCATTCACTCCCGCCTAGTATCCTTTGATTATTGCTCCTTTATCGTCCTTTGCAATTCCCCTCAAGGTTTCGGGCTCGATCCGTCTACGGAGTTGATCCCTGTGTCTAGCTCCCTCTCTTCCGTCGGCAAATTCGACTCTATTTACCTTGCTTCCCATATATCCCACAATCACCCCGGACTCCCATTTCTTTTTACTTTCAAATATTCTTGCCCATACTGCATGCCCTACCATAAATTCTGCTTCATTCACCATCTCTACCCGTTCCTTTTCTTGACTTGCCGGTCTCAGTGAATCCAACCAAATTCGAGTTCTCCGTCCTAAAAAGGCTCCTCCCCTTTTTTACTGTTGTTATAATAAGTCACTGCTACCCATATCTCTCCGCCCCCATCCTTTGACTTTCTTAACCAGTTCTCGACTACCGCTACCATCCTCTCCGCTTGTCCATTTGAACTTGGATGATACGGCGGGGCTAAAATGTGTTTCGCTCCAGTTTCCGCCCAAAAAACTTTGAATTGTCTACTAATAAAAGCAGGACCCCCATCCGAAACTACTGTCCTAGCTGCCCCAAATTTAGCCCATAAATTTTTTAATACTTTTACTAAGACTTGAGTGGTTAATCCTTTCACTTCCTCATTCTCTACCCATTTCGAAAATGCACCTACCACCAATATATAAATTTTATTTTCGAAGTCAAAGAAATCCAAGTGGATGCGGTCCCACGGCTGGGTTGCTTTCGGCCATAAACTTTCTCTGTCCTTTCGAGGCATCGGAGCCCATGAATTGCATCTAACACAGGCTCGACTGATATCTTCAATATCTTTGTTCATTCCTGACCACCAAACATATTCCCTTCCCCATTGTTTCATTGTCTCCATCCCTTGATGTCCCGTATGAATCATCGCCATTACTTTCCTTAAACTTGGACGGTATAACACTCCTATTTCCTCGCACCAAACATTCATCTTTTATTGACAATTCCTTTTGTATATATTTATACTCCATCTTGCCACGTTTTCCCTCCCTTAAGGCACGCTTTGATCCGTCTCAGTTCCCGATCTTTCAAACACCCTTTTAATTTCTTCCCATGTCACGGGCCCGCCTCTAGATATTCCAACCATAGTCCTAATCAGTCCCTGATCATTTTCTTTTTCCTGTTCCTCTTGCTCTTTCTCCCCGAAATCTTCCCCCGCTCCGCATCTGGATAAAACGTCCGGTACATAATTTTCTCTCCCTCTGCGATATTTCACTTGGATGTCAAAACTACCCACTAGCAGCAACCATCTTTGTAACCGGGGTGATAGCATCAATTCCTTATTGTCCTTTTTGAAAAGATGTACAAGCGGTTTATGATCCGTGTAAATAACAAATCTACGTCTAATTAAATATTCACTACACTTAGTCAGTCCGAAAATAACGGCCAATGCTCCTTGCTCAATCACTGAATACCTGGTCTCTGCTGCTCTAAATATTCTCGAGAGGCATCCACCGCTAATATGACTTCCAATTCATTATTAAAACATACCAACATAGGTTCTTTTCCTATTCTACATTTCAATTCTTTGAAGGACTCCTCTTGCTCATCTGTCGAATCAAATTTCCCCCCTTTCTTTAACAATTGGGCACTGCTATTTGCGCAAAGTTTTCCACGAACCGATGATAATAATTTACCATCCCCAAAAAGGCCTGTACCTCTGTTTTATTATTAGGTCTTATCATATTATTAATTCCTGTCATATTTCTGTCCAAAGGCCGCACCTCCTTCCCCGTGATCTTATGCTCATAAGTCACTTCGGTAACCCTCAACACACTTTTCTCCGCGCTGGCTCTCAATCCCTTCTCCTTTATTCTTCGAAACACTTCTTCCAATCTACGTTCATGTTATTCGGGATTTCTCCCCGTCACCAATACATCATCCAAGTAGAAAACTCCTTCCATTCCCTGGAAAACAGCAGCCATTGTACGCTGAAAAATAGGAGCTGAAACACTAAGTCCGATAGGTAATCTACAAAATGCAAACAATCCCTTAGGCGTAGTAATAGTTAATAATTTCTTTATCTCCGGTTTGACACGTAATTGCAGATACGCATTAGAAAAATCTACTTTTGAAAAATGAACGCTTCCCTTTAAATTGGCCAGTATTTCTTCAATTCTTGGCAACGGATATTTGACCTCTACAACCCATGGATTCAACGTGACTAGAAAATCTGCTCATAAACGAAGTTATCCATTGGCTTTCTTCACCGGCACAAGTGGAGTTGCCCCCACTGTATTCCACAGGACAAACAATTCCTCTTTGTACCCATCAATTCCAGTTCCAATTCCTTTCTCCATCGGTATCCGTTGTAACGCACAGAATTTTGGAACACAACTATCTTTTAACCTCTTCCTCATTAGTTATCAACTCTTCTACACTGGGCAGTGTCCCATCCTTCATTACTTCCCGATTTTCTGACATCTTCGCATTCATCACTTTCTCTTTTCTTGCTGCCGTCCTACCTCCCTTTTCCCAATTCCTCTTTCCTCCTCCTTTCTTCTAATATTACGACCCTCCTTAACAGGTCCAACGTGCCCCGGGTAATTTTTATCTATTTTCTCTTTAACTTTATTCTCCTTTATTTCTCTGCTAGAATTCCTTTCCCCTACTTCGTTCCTATAATTGCGTATCCCTGTTTTGTTTCTCGAATTATCTCCCCTGGTTTCACTCCTCTAATTATCTTCCCTTGTTTCACTCCTTAAATTATATTCCTTGTTTTGCTTCTAGAATTGTTTTTCCTTATTTCGCTCTTTAAATTATCGCTCCTTGAATTATTTTTACTTATTTCGCTCCTTGAATTATCGCTCCTTGTTTCACTCCTAGAATTGTTTCTCCTGATTTCGCTCCTTGGATTATTTTGATTTGTTTCGCTCCTTAAATTATCACTCCTGGAATTATCGCTCCTTGTTGCGTTCCTTGAATTATTTTTCTTTGTTTCGCTTCTTGAATTATCTTCTCTGGTTCCCTCACTCATTAAACAGGGTCTCAATTCCCGACAACTCATTCTCTCTTAATGTCATAACGGCATATTCCTCACTCGTTATTGGTATGAATATACCCCACCATGAAAATACCCCCAAAAACTATACCATGGACCAATTTTAGTTATCCAATCCAATCCCAACACCGCTTCTATTATCCGATTGATAACCCATAAATCTAATATTTCAATTCTTTCCTCCAATGTTGCTACAATCTTCACTCTACCCATCGCAGCCAACAGGGCCCCATCGAATTGTCTTATTCTTAACCCCTCATTCTCTATCATTTCACCGGGCCAAAAACTCTGATATCCATTATATCTAATTACTGAAATGGCTGCTCTCGTATCAAACAACATGGGAACCATTCTCCCATCTAAATTTATCATCACTCTCAGACAAGAATCACGTATAGACCCTCTTATAGTATATTTACACATCCCTCTTTATTTGTTTTTCTCTGATAAAACTCCTCCTTTGTCTTTTTCAATCGCCTCGCCCCGACCCGTCTTGCAGATTTTTCGCTATCATATAGTCACAAATTTTTACAGTCCATCGCCACATGTCCCTCCTTTCGGTATCCAAAACATCCCATATTTTTCTCCTTTCCTTTCTTGATATTTACTGCCCGAACTCCTTCAACTTTCTCCCGCTCAATCGTCCTCACATTCGAAGTACTCGGACCCATTTCTCTCTGGGGAAAACCGCTTTTATTGTTGTAATTGCTCGTATTGCACTCCTCTTTATTATGCCCAAATCGACCACAACCCGCACATCTTAATCTCTCTTGCTTACCTGGACAATAAGGAGGTATATGTCCAAACTTCCTACAACCAAAACATTTTACCTCGCGACAATCTCTGAGCATATGACCTGGTTTACCACAATTATAACAACTCATTGCTCCTCTTTCTCGCGGCACAAAATTATGTCTTATCTCCAATCTTCTTCCCAAGAATTTTCTCTGGGCTCTCTATACGATCGCAGCTCTTGATTATTCTCGAAATTTTGTTTATCAGAACCATATAAGTTTCTACTTACATCACTATCCTTCCAACCCTTAATTAACTCCTGAACAGATAACCAGGTTACTTTACCCATCATCTCCTCTCCATTATGTCCCTCAATGGTCAATGTTTGTCCTTTTATTCTTACGCTGCGACTCCTCCTAATTCTCCTGCCCCAAACTAAAATACATACCCATATTAATAGTATAACCAGCGCTCCAAAAATATTATACTGTATCTCCCAGTATTTAACAAACTTTAAACTTTTCATCCCGGCGTTACAAAAAATTTATGATTAATTTCAATAAAAATCTTGGTTATTTGTAGTGTCAACAAGTAAGATAAAGTAGCATAAATATGCCAATGATGCACATATACATGCACACTTAATAGGTTAATATTTGACAAAATCCGTGTTAATCTTTTGTAATAGATTTATAATTGCAAAAATTTGGGCAGCACTTTCGTGTAACTGGTTATTTAATAAAATTTTAAGCGAATTTCTAACAGGTTAATATTTCCAAAAATTTGGGCAACACTTCCGTGTAACTGCCTTATTTAGTATAAATTTGAGCAAATTTCTAACAAGTTTATATTCGTAAAAATTTGGGCAGAGCTTCCTTGTATTTGACCTGTGAAATAATGTCTCTAACAATCACTTAAACTTCCGACACACTCGGGTATCCTAATGTTCCTCACAATCACTTAAACTTCCGACACACTCGGGTATCCTAATTTTTCTCACAATCACTTAAACTTCCGACACACTGGGGTAACCTATTGTTTCTCACAATCACTTAAACTTCCGAAACACTCGGGTAACCTAATGTTTCTCACAATCACTTAAACTTTCGACACACTCGGGTATCCTAATTTTTCTCACAATCACTTAAACTCCCGAAACACTTGGGTAACCTAATGCTTCTCACAATCACTTAAATTCCGAAAAACTCGGGTATCCTAATGTAAGCTGATAACGCCAAGATCGCGAGTTTTTGGCCACCACACTTTTATAGTTAATACTTACACTTTTATAATTAATAAATTTACGAAATTATTTCTTTTAATTTTTTACTTGACCCCTTCCAATTCTTGTTCGGCAAAATTTCTTCTCTTTTTTTAAACCAACAAAAACTGAAAACTAATTTTATTTTATTTTTCAGAAAAAAAACGAGTAATAAAAATTACAAAAACTATCACTATAATTATTACAATAATAATAATAATAATATATAAAAACAATAACAATAACCCTATATTATAATTTTTCTACAAAAGCTAACATGTTAAAAAAAATCGATATAACTATTATTTTTCTACAATGGCTAATATATGGAAAAAAAATCGATATTATTTTTATACACACGCTAATATATGACAGAATCAATATTATTATTTCTCTCTACAACCCAAAATATAAACCAAAATCAATCCCTACTTTACCTCAGGTCTACTTTCTTTTTCATCATTTTCCTTTCCAACCATAATCAATCCTTTAGCTATCGGAGCTTTAAATCCTAAAAGAGATACATGTTAATTTACTACAACAGAAATCTAATAAATGAAAGAAAACTCGCATATAAAAACGCTTCCGTTTTATGTCAGTTCTGTATAGTTCAATTAACATATCATGGAGATCCACCCCGCCCATACCACCGTTATAATCTTGAATTATGACCGGAATTTTAACATTGAGAAAAAAGAGTTTTCAGATACCGACCATCATGTTCTTGATATTGGATTTATTCCCATAAATGATGATATGGTGATAATCGATTTGTTATCAAACCATTTGCAAATTATAATATTATTATTAAAATCTACTTTATAATCAAGGGACCCTCTTCCTTTTTTCTTTAGGATTCTATCATCATACAGGTGGCATCCCGATAATCAATTAGATATAAGGGTCCCTAACATGATAAAGCCATTATCTTTGACTGTTAAATTATACTAAGAAAAGTTATCCATGCAAATTCTATGATTTTTATGTTGGGAAACAGTTTCTAATAGTCGTATAACGATATTTCCGCTAATTCCCTTCAAAGTTTTTTTTTATATTTGTGGATTTTCCTAAATATATTTCGAAATCATATAGCGTTCCAGATGATCCACATAAAGCAAAAATTTTAATTCCCCATTTATACGATTTTATAATATATTGTTTAAATCCATCTCCCTCTGGTATAATATGTGTTGAGGTCTTATAAAAATTTTTAAAAAAGTATAATAAAAAAAATTCCTACTTTCTTAACTTTTTGCAAATGTGGCTTTCTAAATGGAAAATAACCTATATTCAATTCTTACTATATCATATTTCCCATATTTAATTTTAAAAAATTTATAGAAAAAATTATATTATAAAATCCCAATGTTACCAATTTGGATTTCCTTCAAAAAATAATATAGATAATAGTTATTGTTATTTTTTTTTTACTAAATATGAAATACTAGTAATATTCTATTATAAAAACATTATATGCCTTTGATTTATATATATTTATATCGAATGGTTATCGATGTAAAAGTGTAAAAATTTTGGCGCGTAACTTGTATTTTGATATAATAAAATTATGATTTTGACAGGTTAATGATAAAATATGATATAATAAGTATTGTTTTGTAAATTCATGCATCTAAGTAGCAACCATTTGTTCTTTAAATATAAGAATTAATTGTTAAAAATTTTGATGACAAATGATCTCGCTGGGCGCGAAAAGGTTAAATATTTTCATTGTTAAAGGCTGATACTATCTATGTGAAGGGGGGGGGGTATATTTGAGTACCGTCTCTCAAAGATATCTGCTTTCTTTCCCCATATTTTTGCGTCTTTTTAAAAAAATAGAGCAAATTATTTTGATTTCTAATTGATCAATTTTTTTATAGTGATCATTCTATGCATATTATAAGTCTCTATGTCATTCATATATATGATTACGAAATATTCCTTTATTTATAATCTAAAATTATGATAGTAAACTCTTGTCATTTGATTAGTGAAAGAAGTTCGTTTTTTTGAAAAATATGATGAATGGCGTTCCTTTTATATATGATGAAATTTGAACGTGAACTCGTTCTTTTTGACGAACGTGTTCGAATTTGACGTTCTTTATTTTAAAAATACTTTTTATTTTTATTTATTTGATAAATTTAATATTAATCCAAATTTTTTAAGAAAAAAAGTCTTATAATCAGCTGTTTTACCTTTTTCACATTTCAATTTTTTAACAAGCCATTATTATAGTTTATTCTTTTGAATATTATTGTTTATATTTTAATATAATAGATTGGCATAAGCATGGATATTATAATTTCATCATCATCATCTGATTCTGAAAATTCAAAATCAGATGAATTAATACCATGGCCCAAATCGATAAATATTTTACAGTAACATCCTATATTGAAGAAACTAATGCAATACTTACCAAATGTAAAATGTGCTCAAAAATTATATAAGTTTCAAAATCTTCAAGTTCCAATTTAAAACGACATTTGATTCTAATAATTAAGTAAAACCATTAAATTTGAAGAAAAAATGCACTTGGACTACTTGACGCCAACAATAACGATAGTTATTTTAAAATTAAAAAAAAATAGTGGCCTAAAATATAGTCAACCATTGAACGAAGTATTAAATGGGATTAATAAAAGGTATTAAACCTATCGCGATCAAATTAATTATACAAATTTTTTTTAAGGATTTGAACTTATATATATGAAGATCAAATGAACTTAGGTAAGGTACATATCATAAATAAACACATTTTGACCAATTTTGAGAGAAATCGGTCCAATAGATAAAAAGTTAAAGGGTGGTGGCCAGTGTTCAAACATGGCCATTTATCACATTTCCCCTATATATATATTTTTTTTTAAAGATTTGAACATATATATATGAAGATCAAATGAACTTAGGTAAGGTACATATCATAAATATACACATTTTGACCAATTTTGAGAGAAATCGGTCTAATAGATAAAAAGTTAAAGGGTGGTGGCCAGTCATCAAACATAGCCATTTATGGCACATTTCCCCTATATATTTTTTTTAAAGATTTGAACATATATATGAAGATCAATAAGTTCTTTCTCCAATCATATATCCATCAAGCTTCAATGGCCATGGATATAACTTCCACAGAACGAACTTATAAAAAATAAACTTATAGCGTTGTTGAAAAAATGCAGTGAAAACCCTAGAAATGATAATATAGGTACTGTTAATTTCGAGATTTTTTGACGGGGAAGTAGAGGATGGATTGGAGGAGGATAACTTATCTCACTTTTTTCTAAGGACAAAACATTAAATGTTTTTAATAAATTCCCCACTTTAAAAGAGTTGTTTATTGAGTATAATACTGCAATTCCCTCATCTGCCCCTGTAGATCGCGTTTTTAGTATAGCTAATGCCGTATTAACTGCTAAGCGTTCCTGTCTATCAGCTGAAAATTTTTAAAACAATTGTTAATAAAAATCAATAAGAAAAATTTTTCATAAATAAAAATGCTATATTATATTGTAATTAATTATATTATTAAAATGAAACTATATTATTTTTTAACATGTCTAATATATTGTGTTAAAAAATATAAGACATTTATTTATATTAAATTAAATTTTAATAAAATTTTTAACGAACGTGAAGGCGTTCATGAAAGTGAACGAACGTTAAGGAGTTCAGGAAAGTGAACGATGAACGCGTTCCTTTTTTTGAAATTGAACGTGAACGCGTTCGATTTTTGTCAATGAACGTTGAACGCGTTCGTTTTAGAAATGTTTACAACAATAGTTATGACCATGACACAGGAAGTCCACCCTCCCATCCCCATTTAAAATAGTTATTACGAGTGTTTGGTCAAAGTTAAAAGCAACCCCACCCAGTTAGTTCGGC